TAATATTATTTATAAAGACTATCACTGTATGTCATAACTCTAGCTTTCTTCTACTATCTCTTTTCAAATCTAGATTTCAAGTAACTGATAATTTGTATCCTTTTGTTTTATTATTTTGGATCTTACATAATAGAGAATTATAAAATATTTTTCACATTAACAGTGAAATAGTTTCTTCTTGATCAATTCTATCTCTTGTGATAATTGCTTTTGTTAGGTCATTTTTATATATTACTCTAAACTCTCTATTATAAAATAGACTTATTATGATTTAAATAAAACTCTTGTAAATTTTGATTCTTTTTATAGTATATTCAAACTGATTGTATTATATGCCTTTGTTATATTTTGAATAAGGATCTATAACTTCTTTTTGTTTTTTCTTGCTTTCTCATAGATATTGTTAAGAATTTATATTGGTTCTGTTGTATTTTATTCTAATAATTCTGTATAGTTGAAACCTCTCAGAATATTATTGCTTTTGCAAATATTTTCTAATCTATTTATAAGAATCTTAGTGAAGCACTTTCATATAACTTCTAGTAATACTATCAGTCTTGTGTTGATAAGTTTACACTTCTATAGTTTTTATTTCACTATAGGATATATATAACTTTACTTCTAACTATATAAAATGATTTATCCATTTTAAAAAGCAATTAAGTATCTTCATCAGGTAGTCCTTTTCTCTTGACCCAGCTTTTTTTAATATTTCATAACTAATTTGCAATTTTCCTAGAGTTTTATTATTTGGAAGCATGTGAAGTGATTTATCTAATTCTTCTTGAAAAATTAGCTTTAAGAGATCTTTATATCATTTTTCTTTGATATAGCTTCTAAGACTATATTCTTTTTTTCAGTCTTCTATTAGGTTGTCAAAGTTAGCATTTCATGTTCTAAACACTTCTTTATGATATTTTCTTATCACTTTTTCTATTTCATCCTTTCTAGTTGTTATAAAATTATTTTTCTCATTTCTGACTTTGACTCTATCCAAAACTATTTTGATTTACTTTCTATTTGTCAAAGAGTTTATCATTCTTCTTTGATTATTTCACAAATCATCACATTTTTGTTCTAAAGCTTTTTTAATAGTATTTTTGTCTGTCTTGTCTCTGTATTTTAGCAGATTAACTTTAGACCTTTTATCACACCACATATTTCTTTTTTCAATAGTGTCTATAATATATTTGAAATACTATGATTTTTGATTTAGTAATTGAGGTTATATGTATTATTGTTTTTTTTTTATTTCTATACTAAGGACCTATAGCTTATTTGATTCTTGTGAGATTTGTGCTTTCTTGAGAAGTGTTTTTAGTTGGAAAGCTTATTTGTATTTGATATATTCTAAACTATACTTGTAGTGTTTTTTTTGTATAGTAGATATTTTCTTACTTGCAAGCTTGTTATTGCCTTATATATTTGTTTTTCAAATATCTTCCATATTATGTTCACATGGATTTTTCTTTTACTCTTTTCTGGCTCTTCTTTTAACAAAGAATCTAGTATTATTCTAAGCTTATAGTTTACACTTTTCTTAAATACCTGCCATTGTTCTACTATTAATCCTTTAATATTAATTTTTCTTTCATTCTTTATAGCTAATTTGCTAATGATGTCTCTTGTAAATAGATTGTTATCATATAATATTATCAATAGCATTGTATAGTCACTATCTATAATTTTTTCTATATTTTAATTGTCAAATCATAGTAATGAGAATTTTGTGAAGTTCTGTAACAACTATATATAATCTATCTAGCTACCACTAGTAGCATTCCATTTTGTTGAAGTTTTATTTTTTCCTTCCCATACTACTTACATATTTATAAAAGTCCATTCATCTAAAGAGTTGAATAGTTGATTCTCTAGATATCAAAATAGTTTGAATGTTTCCCTAGAAGTTTGGGTTCTATCTTTTATGAGGTTATATATAGTGTTGAAATCTTCTATAATTACTATGTAAAAGTACTGTCTATACTTTTTTTGATAAAGTTTTGTACTTTCTCTTGTACCTTTTTATTTTATTGTTTGTTTAAGGAAATATAAATTTGAATAATGCAAATAAAATAATTAATTTTTTATTTATATATACTTTTAATAATAATAATAATTTTTTTTTTTACAAAAGATACAAAAAGATAATTGAATAAAAATAAATACTAGAAATTGATAGAGAAGACAAGACAAAAAAATCTCTATATTTTTTAAGTCAGAAAACTATACCTCTAAAAAGAAGAGATTTATTATTTGAAAAAAGAAACCTTGAAAATGAAAGTCTTTAAAAAATTTTAACAAGAAGAGGGAAGTATGAAATAAAATAGTTGGGTTTAAGTTCTGTCAGAACCTTGTAAAGTGATCAGCAGTAATAATTTGTAAACAATTAAGTTAACAATTAAAAGAATTTTTATCTGAATTGTTAATAAAGCAATAAATCACTTTAAAGTTACACTTAAAGTCTTAATAATTCTTAAAATAGAAATAAGTGAATTAGATAGAAACTTAACTTTAGTGATATATTTTTCAATATAAAGTATATATATATTTAATAAAATATATAGTATATACTGTATCTAATTTGACAAAAGATTTAAAAAATAAAAATAAAAATAATAATTTTTTTTTAAAAAATCATAAATGGTATTAGATATGAAATTTTTATTAATATATAGTTAAACTTCTTTAAAAAAAAACTTGAGTCTTTAGTGACCTAAAAAGACTTAAGTATATACTTCTTTTACTAAGGATAAGAAGGTTCTAGGAAGTAAAAGAACTGACAAGTGAAGTGTCACCTTATAGAACTAGAAGCAACAAGAAATAGTAGTTTTATTGACTAGAGAAGGCTTATTATCCACCTTCTCACATACTGTCTTATACTTTCTTAATGTGTCTACTATTTTTCAAGGTTTTCTTGAGAGATTTTGTTTACTTCTATTTGATCCTGAATTTCTAGTAGCACAATGTTACCTGGCATCTGATTGGTTGATATGAAACATGTTAGTAACTGAATGTAAACAAGCTTTTATTTGTCATTTTATGTGTTCCGATAATATCATTGATAATAAAAAGAGTTAATTTGTGTCCCGTATCTGTCCCACTCCTCAAATTGGATAATTTACAGATTAAGTTCTATGAGGTCAATAAGATATGAGCAACAAGTTCCCAGGTGATGAAAAAGCTGCTATTTATTTAAGTTGAGATTTTTCTCTCCTATCATCCCAGTTAGGTAAAGTTCAAGATTAAGGTCTCCTTTTTATTCCAATTAGGCAATAAGACTAATGGTCACTAGTCTATATTAAGCTCTAACCCTTTGGTTACAATTGAAAATGCCTTTCTCCAGAAGTTATTAAAGAATATTGCAATTGACAAGGATCCCCACCACTCTTGAGAACCTCTTATCATTACAAGACAAAAGAATTATTGAAGAATTTGACTTTTTGAATAATGGAAGATGTATACCAGTAAAATTCCTTTAATTAGGCATGGCTGCTAGAAGGTATCACACTAAAACAACATGATCTAGTCCTTACTAGGTTACATAAGAACCTGGATCCATTATAAGTCATCTGTTTACTACAGGTGGATAAAAAATCATTGTCCAAAGAAGGTTGGGACTAAGTGTGTCCTAGAAGTAAAGGCTTCCACTAGGTGATAAGTCTTTTCAGAAGGTATATAAGAAGGAAATCAAGATCAAGAATGGATAAGTTCCTTAGACAACCAGGAAAAGAAAGAATATTCCAATCAGGTATTTTTTTATTGAAAAGAGTTCTTGAAAAGTAGATCTTTGGAGAAAGCTGGAAATATTTTTTTCAATTTTTACTCTTTCATTTTCTTGTTATCTATTTAGATATTTTTAGATATCCTCCCTCCCCTTTTTTAACCCATCCTTTTGTAATTTCCTATATTTCAGTAGCTTGGTATGACATATGGTAGTGACAACCTGCTGACAATGATGCAGTGGACTAGGAGGGTTTTCACCCAAAGACAATACAGAGTGAAATATTGTCCCTAAGGCTGAACTTAGAGGCTTTTATACTTAAGATGAGTTAGTTAGATTAGAATAATAGTTTAGCTATAGTATGTATCATGCACTTCGAATGAAAATGTACTTATGTTTTCAATTGATTAATAAACTAACAATCTAGCCTGGCTACGGGTACTCAAAAAAAAAAATAAAAAAATTATACTATTCAAATGAATATATACTTATATATTTTATTGCTTAATAAACTACTTTGAACCGGATGTTAAAAAAAAAAACCAAAAAACAAAACAATAATTTCAATGCTATATAATATAATATAAATAGTCAACAATCAATTGATATTTAATCAATTATGGGGGTAGAAAAAAAGCAATTAATTTAAATATTAAATTAATTATGCAAGTGATAATTTTTTTTTACAAAAAAAGAAATTTAAAAATTTTTTGAAAATATTCTTCCCGTTGATTTAATCGAACTATTATTACTGTAAATATGAATTAGACATGGTCTCAATTGACTCTTGTTTACCTTTTATACTTATTGATTTATTGATTAGTTTTTAGGTACTTTAATCGTATCTCAATAGTTAACTTTCAAAATTGGACCAGAAAGTTCTACTCAAAAAAATATTTCGATTCATGCAGTCCTTCCAACAATGTCAAACAAGCTATTTTATTTAATTGAAATGACGATTAATTTAAATTATAGCAGAAAATCAGAAAATGTCAATTTTGATCTTAATTGGATTTTTTAGTGATGATTAAGAATAAAGAGTTTTGTTTTTTATGAACATTTTGCTTTTTGAGATATCACAATCAATGCAATAACAAGATGAGAACCAAATGATTAATGGCTAACAGTTATCTTCGATGCCGAGTAAATAATTGGGTGAGTCGAGAGGTATCTACTCTAATGATGAAGGAGTGTAAAATTATTTGGAGAATGCAAAATGAAGGTAGGGTTATGTGTTATGTTAGTGTCAAAAAAAGAATCAATAAAAAAGATATTTGAACTAAGCTAATCTTTTGGGCCAGCCGTGCTCATTTAACAAACTATCCGTTTCCCCCGTCAACTCTTGGGGTCCGTCACCAACTTTGGTATGCAAGATTTGTTTCACACTGCCAGGAGCGTGCACGGGAATTATTTGTTCGTTAAATCCTTGAGGCAATGTTTTTGTTCCAATTATACTTCCCGAAAATAACTGATAAGGGTCCGTAAAGTATTCTTTACCATTCTCAACATCGCCTGGGAAAAACTTTGCAATAATATTAATTATTTCTGGAACATTTTCTCGTAAAGTGTATATAACGGCATTTGGTCCAGCGTCAAAAGTGTAGGCGGCTTTTAGTTTTCCAGATTCGCTGCAAGTGTTATATTCAGTGATGACACGAATGATAGCACGGGAAACGTCGTTGAGATAAAAGATTGGGGGAAATGTGTCTAGACAAACGGCGTGAAATTGGTTAGAATCCCTCATTGTAATTTCAGCGAATTGCTGGAAATCACGCTTGAGGATGGCCTCGGTCATCGATTTCATACGTTCCGGAACCACGTGTTTAATACGATGTTGAAGAAGCGGAGAAGTGGTGAACGTGTTTTGCATTCCTTCCGTGCTACTAGTTCCTTTTTTAGCATCGCTAACGACACAAATCAAGGCCTCCAATTCGGGCCAGTAATCCTTGGGTGCAATTTGTATCGCTTGGCTATCGGATCCATCAACTTGGGAACCCATCTCCCATGCCACAAATCCACCAAACAAAGAACGGCAAGCAGAGCCAGATCCTTGTCTTGCGATTTTTGACAGCTCGGTGGTCGATACAGGTAGTTCGTACAACTGAGCCAGGGTATAAACTAGGCACGCGAATCCGGAAGCCGAAGAGGCTAAACCAGCGGCGGTAGGAAAGTTATTTTCGGAACAAATGTGAACATTATATTTGGATAAAGGAACAACATTTTCTGTGCCTATTTCTTTGCACAATTTTTTTTCATGTTCTTCTCGTAAGCGTCGAGTCTCACGCAAACAATTTTGTAATCTTTTATTCTTAGTAAGGTCCGTTTCCTCTACACCATTAAGCCATAACCTGGTTTTTTCAAAGTCCGGGGAAGCACGGATTGTAGTCTTGCTTCGTAGGTGTTCCTGAGATAAGGTCACAGACAATGAAGAGTTTGTCGGAAGTATTAAAGCGGTATCTCTCTTTCCCCAGTACTTAATGACGGCGATGTTTACTGGTGAGGTTGAAGTTTTTTCGTACGTCGGACTCATTATTGATTACAGTGCAGTATTTGTTTTGTTTGACAGCACAGCTTGTTCGAAAACTAGATTGGATCATCTGGCAATTTATTTGGTACGACCTTTCATTACCATATCTGTGGATCAAATTGAATATTGGTTAAACGTCTCACGGATTTTTTCTTGGGAAAAGCACGTATTCATAACAGTGACATTTAAGGCAGTAATCGACATTATAATGTTTACAATATTTAATGGTATAATTTTTAATCCTAACATTGAATCTACTCCGTATTCTTCTCATAATCTGCGTTAGATCTATCATTCTTTCTATTGCCGCTTTTTTTTTTTTTTTTTTTATTATTCCAAATAAATTATTCCGGTAACGTACTAGTCTATTTTCTTCGTTTACGAGTCGATCCTTGTTTTTTTTCGTCTCTTTTTTTTTTTCCTTCCTAAGAAAGCCCGGAAACCTTTTTATGTAGTGGTTGGAAGGTCGCAATATATGTGCACAAGATTCACTCGTTTTGAAATTACCGCTGATATAAAAGTTAAGTTCTGGGTAAATATCAGCAATACTTTCTATTTCTTTTAAGAATTCTTCTTGGAAGAGTACTTTCACGATTTATTGACCATCGCATATACACGGCTTGTCTTGATACGCACGATATTGAATTAACGTGATTTATATACCATCACGACCTCAGATATTGCGAAAAAAGATCCTACCAGTGATTCTGTCGTGAAGAGTGATGGATAAAGGTACTTGTAAAAGTGGTGCCACGACAAAGGTTAAAACCCCACCTGCTCCAAAGCCAAAGCCACCTAAACTTTCAACCACTACTTCCAATAAAATTGACAGTGAGCCCAATTCGTCATCTACACCATCGAAACGAGTAAATCCCAATAATCGAAATAATCGCGGACCAAATATTAACAGAATATCGAAAGTTTTTGAAGATTCAGATATCAAATCTCGAACCGCACCTTCTCTTCCACTATCACCTAAACTACCGGTTCCCCGGGTAGTGAAGCCTTATTCCCCCAAAAAGCAATCACAGAGTACCATGAATAGTGAGCCAAACTCAGCCATAGATGAATCTTCAATAGCATTTGGCGAAATCAAAGCAAAGTTTCAGAAAGATATCGGCAACAGAGCAGTGAGTATTGATGATGCGATTTTTATTTTATCTTATTTATTTTTACTAATTCAAACTAAATAAAAAATTTCTATGGGAAACCGAAAGACTCCTCCAATTGAAAAACAACCCGCGCATTCAGATAACCACAGTGTAACAAAAAGCCTAGATAAACAGAAAATGATTGTCAACTCATCCAAACGTACTGGCAATATTAACAAGAGTATAAAAAAATCAGAAAGACCTTCTTTCGACTCCGTAATAGTATTCAATGATAATGAGGCGGATTTAATAAACGCTAGTTTTAAGTGGGCCGAAGCGACGGGAAACGGTAATGATGATGTGCCTGAATTACCAAGAAAAGCTGGAAGAAGTACAGGATCTCTTTCACATAAAGGTGACTCGAGCGGTTCAAACAAGAAGGGTCCAACAAAGATGGGGAGAAGTGATTCTTATAGTGGTACTCGGTCAAAAACAGATTCTAGCATTTCGACAGCGGAAAGCGATTTTGAAGCAAAAAGAGCTAGTATTGCGAATCTTCTTTCGAAGACGCCAAGTTTAATGCGTCCCCAAGGCTTACACATAGAAACTTCAAAGGAGCTACCTTCTGAACTCGTGAGGTCGCCCTCTCAACACTCCCAGCACTCCCAACACTCACCTTCTATTAAATTACTTGGTTCTCCTCTCTCCGATATTAGTCGTAGATCTCGAAGTGAAACTTCACTTCCGAGTTTTCCAAGTGAAACCGCTGTAGAAGAAGAAGACGAACTTTCCGTAGATTTGAAAAGACGCCGAAAACTATGGAATGTCATAAAAGAGCTTGTCGAAACCGAGAAGATATTTCTGACAGACATGGAGTTATTGGAAGAGGTGAATAAAAGAAGAGAGTTTTTTCTTTTACCTCCGTTCATTGTTTATTAAGAATAACATTTTTTTACGAGTAGGTTTACTATATACAAGCTCAAGAAATTCCAATCTTTCAACCATATGACTGCAAAACTATCTTTATTAACCTTCCCGAAGTAATAGATTTTTCTGCCGATTTTTTGAACTTACTGACTGCTAGCGCGGGAATCGACGATTTGGACGACGTGGATAATGATAAGCATTTGGAATTGGAGAATGATGATACTTCAATCGGGGAGGCGTTCGCGCAGATGGTAACAATTCAGTCGCGTATTACTTGACTTGACGATTCATTCAAATTCAATTATCTTAATCAACGGCTTGGATTCAACAGATGAGGAAACATGGTGAATATAGTAGAATGGAAGAAGTCTACGGTGAATATTGTAAACGTCACGAGGCATCGGTTCAAAAGCTTCAAGAATTTGATAATGATGAAATTGTCCAAGGGTTCTTGCAGGTTGGACAAAAATAGGTTCCGCGAATTCCTTTAGATACTGTTAACAATTTTGGTAAAATTTTTTTCATTCTACAGAAATGTAAATCACAATGCGAGGGTCGAACGAGAAGTTGGGACATCGCTAGTCTTTTGATTAAACCAGTGCAACGCGTATTGAAATATCCGTTGTTATTACAGGTACGGGAATTTTTTATTCATTCCAGCATTTCATATATATATATAAGTGCGTATATAATATGTATATGAGGATATCTTATGAATTTAACTAAAGTTCAATCTTTTATTTAGCAAATCTTGTCACTAACGAAACCTTCCCATCCAGATCATGCAATGCTCCAGCGCTCTTTCAAAGAGGTCACCTCTGTTGCGGAACGCATCAATGATATAAAGAAGCGGAAGGACATCGTTGAGAAGATTGTGGGTAATAAAAAGAGGACGGAAGCTGATGTAGGTCTTATATAATCGATCCTTTAACCGTTTTCAAATATTGTCTGATCGAAATTTTCACCTTCAATAAAAACAGCTTGTGTTGGTGTTTTTTTTTTTTTTTTTCATATTGTTAATTTGTCGGCCTATCGAATTAATGGATGTTTATTGCAGTCACGGCATAACTAAATCAATAACGAGAAGGGGTCAAATGGTAGGAATAGCATTGCATGATCGCACGTTTTACCGGAATGTTATTTAAGAAAAGAAACCAACTCAATTCTCCAGATAAAACATGCCACCGGTATTGCAAAGGCTACCGAAGACGATCTTTATAAGTTATACCTTGAAACCTTTAAGAACATGGAACAACGAGGAAAAAGATTATCACAAGACATAAAAGAATGGATAAAATCCGTGAAAGGTGTGTGATGTGACATTATGTAAATCCATTGTCCATCTCGCGAGATTAAGCTAATATAAAATCTCTGTGTTGTCAGTTTTCTTTGAAGATCAGCAACGCTTTGCCGCGGCGATCGAAGAATATTTTTCACTCAAAGCTGCGTCCACTAAAAACGTCGATCTGAAAAAGATAACTGAATATAAAAATGCCGTTAGTGCTCTTGCAAATTCTTGTGGGAAAGAAATGGTTTGTCGGGATTTGTTTGATGAAATTTCGAGTTGGTCTAATAAAAAAAAAAATAATAATAATAATACGATAGTGTAAAATCATTCATTAGGAGGATGCCGTCAAAAAAGTAATATATCCTCAAATTGAAAAGTTTCTCGCACGGTTTAAAGCACCTGCGACAGTAATGCGAAAACGTGAACGGAAAGTTTTGGATTTCGATCGGGCAAACGCAATAAAGGATCGGGGTGCAGTGGTGAGAAAAGTTTGATCATCGAAATAATAGATTCGATGATATGCATTTTTTTTTCCCTAATGTTCTATCTTTTTTTTTTTTAAAAAAAAATTATTAGCCTGATAAGGCACTCCAACAATCTGCAGACGCCTATGTATCAATATCAGTACAATTACGTGAGGAATTACCGGAATTCTTTAGATTAATGACTCAATATTTTGATATCATCGTGCAAGAATTTGTCAAGATCCAGGCACGTTTCTATCAACAAATGCTTATGGACTTCAGGCAATATTATTACAAATTCGTTGATTCGCAAGCGCTAGAGCTAATATCCGACAATAGGGAATTGGTGTTGAGAGATTTTGACATTGTCACAGAATATTCTAAATACTATCATGGCGATTTAGGAATGGATGATGAGCTGGCGTGTCTTGTCCTAATAAATAGTGGATCAGGTATTTTTTAAGATTTGACGCTAGCATCATATAAAAAGTGATTGATATGAATATTTTGAATGACGATTTAGATGGAATAGAGAATACCGTGAAAGGACGGAGTGGTAGTTTGATACCGACACAAAAATCTGATGATTCACTACTACGTCCAGGTAATCTGTCAGACTTTGTTGGAATTAATGACGTTTCACTTATTCGTAATTCGCGTATTAATGCCTCTTCCATACGGGGGAAAAGAATGCGTTAAAGGTGGTGCCATCTCGAATGGAAATACAGGTGCGATTCTCCGGATGTCATTTTTAATCTGATGGGATCACATTTCAGGTGTGCCCATTCCACTAATCTATTCGTTTCCATTGTTTTCAGATCGTTTGTCATGGCATTCCAACATATCTTCGGACAAAACGTTACGAGAATCTTTCGGTTTTGATCCGATAAACTATGAATTTCAATCGGACAGTCACTACGAAGATTTTCGTGCAATCATGCAAAAACAGCAACGACGTGTCGGAGCGCACAAAAAATATGCCACCGATAGTGCATTGGATAAACCTCAAAAACTTGTTGAGGACGACGAGGACGATGATGATGACGTGTTTCACGACACACTGACAGGGGAAGAAGATGACGGAACGTTATTCCTTGTTCAGACCATCTACAAAAACAAGTCCAAACAACCAAATGAGTTGAATTTCGAACGTGGTGCATTGCTTAAGATTACACACGTTGAAGAAGCTGGAAACTGGTGGTACGCAGAAAATGCTGACAACGGAAAAAAGGGATGGGTAGATCCAGCATTTGTAGAAAGGATAGGGTGATCCATGTTGATTAGGGCTATTGGATCAAGGAATGGATAATAAAGTTTCTATTGATCAAGTGTATTTATTTAATCTCTACGGTTTGATCCAACCGTATATTTTCCCTCTGTATCATAAGTCGCATCTCATTCTTTAGACTGAATTTAAATATAAAATATATATGCGTACATATAGTAGGTATTCAAATGTATATTATAATGACAAATTCCTTAAATCCGGATAGAATTTCCAGGATCCGCAGTTGAAATAAATTTCCAATTGCTTTGATTAGAAAAAAAAATTTTTTCGATCACAGATATTGAAGCAACGTATCAAACTTATTTTCATTCACCAAATATTTATTTGAAAATTTGAACCTTGATAATATTTGATTGTAGCATAAATAAATCTTATTTTAACTGCAATATACTGTACGTCCACCATATCCTCTATTCATATAGTAGTAATAAAATTTTTTGAATCGAAAAAAGTAACACCAAGTTCCCAAATTTCTAACGAGATGGGGTCATGTTTTTCCAAATGAATGCGGGAATTTTTAATTCTTTTAATTGATTTTATATAATTTAAATTATCTTATTAAAAACTTTATCACATCGAATGCATGTTACATAGAATACAAGTATACAGTATATTAGACTAGATGTTTAAGAAAATGTTTAAATAAAATTTTATTTACCATATTCAAAATAATCAAATATACAGTGTATAGTATATTATATCAATTATTTAAATTCATCATTTATCCTATTAAGTTATGTAGAATATATAGTAAGACTTTATACTGTTTATTAAAATTATTAATTATCAAAATAATTAAGAAATTGTTTTTTAATTTAATGTTTAATAAATGAATAATTATTTTCAAGATATGCTAAAAATCACTAATTGTTGATTAACAATGAAAAATAATTGTCATTTATTTCCATTTTTTGACATAAGTACAATTAATGATCATATTCATAAAAACTAGATTTTTTTTTTGTAGATTTTTTTTTTCAAAAAGATGAATTGACTTTTGAAAAAAGAGATCAAATAATTGATATTCATCTCATGAATTCGAATAGATTGAAGATAGCAATTGCATTAAATACTGTATTTCTCATTCAATAGTATATAATATTATATACCATTATAAGAAAATTAGTACTTGTCATTTAAAAAAATAATTTGATTAATCAGAAATATTTTCAAATTGCAAATAATATTTTTTAAAATTTATTATATTAAATAATTGATTCTTATACTTAAAAAAATTACTAATAAACTTAATACAAGTTTTAATATAACCTATATTCCTAAAACTATTTGAAAATATTTTTATAATCTTGATTTAAAAAATTATACTATACAAAAAATAATCTGTTTTAATTAAACAATAATATATTCTTTGATTAAAATAGTGTTAAGACAAAAATAATTAAAGAAAAAAATAAAAACTAATTGTGTGATCAAATATATCCAGATTTACTTTATTTAAATTAGATAAACTGATAAAAGTATAAAGGAAAATAGGTGAAGCTTATAATAAAAACTATTTTAAATCTATAATTAGATTAATTAAATTTGTAAAAATTTATTATATTTTGAAGTTATTTTAGCTAATATAGAATTGAACCATTAGTAGTAATTGAAGAAAATATAAATTCTAATATATATATGTTAATATATTAGCAAATTATTTGATACCTTATCTTAATAATCACTTATAATATTTTAATAAGATCTTATGCCATGTCATATATTATTTTATATAACTTAGTGAATAATAACATATGATATTCAAATTTTAGATTGAAATTTAATCAAATACTTGTAAAACCATTTTGATCATAAAATTCAAAAAAGAAAATCTTTATTCCAATCAAAATAAAATTTAATTCAAATTGTACAAGAAAATTGAACAAATATTATTATAAATATTCTATATAATTTAATTAAGTATATTAAGATATATCAAAAATATTATTAATAGATATACTAAATATTAAATAAAAAAAATTTTTTTTTGTTTTTAATTTACAAATAAAAAAAAATTTTTTTAAATATCATATTTTTTTTAACTATCATTTGATTTTATTGATAATTGATTTCTGATAATTTAAAGAAGATAAAAATTTTTTATTAAAAAGAAAAAAATTTATTATATATATATACTATACTATATGAATAAAAATATGATAATTTTTAAATTTATTATTATATAAAAATATATATAATAACTTTATTTAAAATTTTAATATGTTATTATTTATATTTTGAAAAACACATATCCAATTTTTGTGTTTTTTCAATAGGTAAATATTAAATTAAGTATAAATATATCTACTCTTCCAGTATTTTTAATTTCAAAAATATATTACTTAACTGAAAGTCAATGTGATAAAATTATAGGTCTCTATAAATATAAACAATCCTATTAAAAATTTCAAAACTTCTTAAAATTAATAGAACAACTGTTTCTTATACAATTAAAAATTATTTTAATAGAAACAATCTTATTACTCTTCCTAAAACTGGATGTCCAAAACTATTAATTTTTAAAGATAAAATCATTTTAAAAAAATTTGTTAAAAAAAATAACAAGAAATCCATAAAACAAATTAGAACCAAATTTATTGAAAAAACTAATATTGAAGTTCTATCAAGACAATTAGAAGAAATTTGCATAAAATGAATATTTTTTCTTGTATACCAGAAAATTATCTAAAATAGTATATTGAAAGAAAAGATTGGATAGTTCAAAAATGGAAAACTATTATATGGAGTGATGAAAGTAGATTTATAATATTTAAAAATAATGATCTTGATCATATTTGGAGAACTCCTGGTATAAAATATAATATTGAAAATATGGTTTCAACAATAAAATTTAAAGATAGAGGAATAATAGTATGGGAATGTTTTTTAGGTAAAGAATTAGGTCCATTGGTAAAAGTATGTGATAAATTAAATAGATTAAATTATATTAAAATACTTGAGAAACACTTATTATCTTTAATTAATAGTAATTTTAATTATAAAAAATATTTGTTTCAAAATAATAATACTCTAATTCATACTGCTAAAAATATTCAACAATGGATTTTAGAAAATAAAATTAGAATTTTACCTAATTGGCCAAGTCAATCTCCTGATTTAAATCCAATTGAACATTTGTGATCTGAATTGGAAAGAAAAATAAGAAATAGA